TCAAATAACTGGGTGTATAAGGAACATACCTTAAAATAATAGATTTCATATATGACAAGCCCACAACCAACATTATTCTGAACAGAGAAAAACTAAAAGCCTTTTCACTAAGATCTAGAACAAAATAAGGATGCCCTCTTTCATCACTTTTATTCAACATAATACTGGAAGTCCTGGCCAGAACAATTAAGCAAGAAAAAGAAAACAAAGTCATCCAAATTGGAAATGAAAAAGTCAAATTAGACTAGCTGACAGACTACAAGATCTGATGTATGTTCAATAAAGAAAAACCTAAAGACTCCACCAAAACCTCTTAGAACTGGTAAACAAATTCAGTAAAGTTGCAGAATACAAAATCAACATTCAAAAATCAGTAGCATTTACGTATGTCAATAGCAACCAATCTGAAAAATAAATCAAGAAAGCAATCCAATTTACAATAGTTACAAAGGATATAAAATTTAATCCAAAAAGCGAGAAATCTATACAAACAAAACTATAAAAAGCACAGATGAAAAAAATTAAAGACACACACACACAAATTCCATGCATATGGATTGAAAAAATTAATACTGTTAAAATGACAATTCTACCCAAAGTAATTTACAGATTCAGTGCAATCCCTATTAAAATACCAGTGACAGCCGGGCCCGGTGGCTCAGCCTATAACCCTGCGCCTTTGGGAGGCTGAGGTGAGTGGATTGCCTGAGCCCACGGGTTCGAGACCCACCTGGGCAGCGAGACCTCATCTCTACAATAAATCAAAAAACCATTCGGGCATGGTAGCGTATGCCTGTAATTCCGGCTACTTGGAAGGCTGAGGCGGAAGGATCACCGGAGCCCAGCAGGTCGAGGTTGCAGTGGCTGGAAGCGGCCACTGCACTACAGTCTGGGCGACAGAGTGAGACTCCAACTCAAAAAAAAAAAAAAATACCAGAGACATTCTTCACAGGAATAGAAAAAACAATCCTAAGAGTCATATGAAACCACAAAAGATCCCAAATAACCAAAGGAATCCTGTGCAAAAAGAACAAAACTTGAGGCATCACACTATCTGACTTCAAAATACACTACAAAGGTATAGTCACCAAATCAGCATGATACTGGCATTAACACATTGAACATACATACCAAAGGAACAAAATGGAGAACTCAGATATAAATCCTTGAATTTACAGCCAACCTATTTTCAACAAAGGAGCCACAAGCAAACAATGGGGAAGGACAGTTTCTTTAATAAATAGTGCTGGAAAAACTGGATAACCATATGCAGAAGAATGAAACTAGACCCATACCTCTCACCATATAGAGAAATCTAATCAAAAGGGACTAAAGACTTCCTGAAACTGAAATTACTAGAAGAAAACATTGGGGAAATACATTGTAAAGATTTTTCTGTGTAAGATTTCAAAAGCACAGGTAACAAAAGCAAAAATAGACAAATGGAATTACATTAAACTAAAAACCTTCTGCATAGCAAAGGAAACAATCAAGAAAGTAAAATGACAACCCACAGAATGAGAGAAAATATCTGCAAACCATCTATCTGACAAGGGATTAATACCCAGAATATTTAAGGTTATCAGACAATACAGTAGAAAAAAAAAATTAGCCAGGCATGGTAGCACCCCCTGTAGTTCCGGCTACTTGGAAGGCTGAGGTGGAAGGATCGCCGGAGCCCAGCAGGTCGAGGCTGCAGTGACCAGGAGCATGCCACTGCACTCCAGTCTGGGCAACAGAGTGAGACTCCAACTGAAAAAAATCCAATTTTAAAACATCAGAGTAGACATTTCTCAAAGAAAGACATACAAATGGCCAAACGGTATATGTAAGAATGCTCAGCATCACTAACAATCAGAGAAATGCAAACCAAAACCAAAATGAGATATTATCTCACCCTAGTTAAAATCACTTTTATCAAAAAGACAGGGACTAATAGATGCTGGTGAGGATGTAGAGAATGTGAAACCCTCATACAATGTTAGTGGGAATATAAATTAGTACAGTCACTGTGGAAAACAGTATGGAGGTGCCTCATAAATGAAAAGTATAACTACCATTTGATCCAGCAATTCTACTAGGTATATATTCAAAAGAGAGAAAATCAATATATCAAAAATATATCTGCACTCTCATGTTTACTGCAGCACCACTCACAACAGCCAAAATATGAAATCAACCTCGGTGCCCATCAACGGACAAACGAATAAAGAAAATGTAGTATATATACACGATGGAATATTATTCAGTTATAAAAGAAGAATAACATCTTGTCATTTGCAGCAACATGGATGGAACTAGAGGTCACAATGTTAAGTGAAGTAAGACAGGTACAGACAGACAAATATCACATGTTTTCACTCATAAGTGGAGCTAAATAAAAAACTGGATCTGATGAAGATAGAGAGTAGATTGATGGTTACCAGAAGCCGGGAAGGGTGTGGTAAGGGTTGAAGAGAAGAAGTTAATTCAGGGATATAACATACAATTAGATAGAATAAATAAGACCTAATGTTGGATAGATTAGTAGGGTGACTATAGCTAACATGAATCTGCTATATATTTTTAAATAGCTAGAAGAGAATAATTTGAATATTCCTACCATAAAGGAGTATTTAAAATGATGGATATCCCAATTTCCCTGATTTGACCTTTATACATAGTATAAAGTACCCTCAAAATATGTACATTATGTATCAATAAAAAAGAAATAATTTAAACATTAAATTTTGATTTTTCATGTAGCAACAAGAGAAATATGGGTGAAAAGGAATTGGAAACAACCCTTAGAGGCAATTATTTTAGGAGTTATGCTATGAAGGGAAGCAAAGAAATGGGGTAATAATTAGAAAGAAATGGGGTGGCAGACAAGGGGATATTTTATGGACGATATTACAACATATTCATTAGTATGTTGGTAATTCAGTAAAGAATGAAAATTAATAATACAAAAGAGAGAGAATACCCTCAAGCATGAGAAAGGAGATAACATCTGGGGTGCAAGAAGAGAATGTTCTTAAATAGGAACCAGGGCCATTCACTCAAAATGGAAAGGAGAGTTTATAGGTTTCAACCCCAAGAGGTGGGAAGATGTGCTAGCAAGAGGACACAGAAGTCCTATTTGGCAGTAACACAGAAAAGTCATCAGCTTTCAGTGAGATGAGAGAAAAAGTTGTTGGAGGCTTGAAGAGAGAACAAAAGCTGTCAAATAATCATTTAGGAAAATGGACTAATAAATGTGGAAGAATAGCTGGGCAGCACGAAGGTCTCCTTCACCTTATTGGTCAAAAAATCAAAGTGAGACCAATCATCAGGGTCATATGCTTTACTCAGGCCACTTCTGCCACACAGGCACAGGTAGGGAATTGGATTCATCGGGTTTTGTGGTTTTATCAGGAGAATAAAACCAAGTATGGGACAAGAGAGTTCATGCTACCTGTATATGCAAAGCTCTAATCATAATGATGTGCCATGGCCTCTAAATTGCAAGAGGCGGAACTGAGCACATGAGGGCAAGAGTAATAAAGGAGTTTTTTGGTTTTTGTGTTTGTTTGAGTTGGAGTCTCACTCCGTAGCCAGGCAGGAGTGCAGTGGCATGCTCACAGACACCCCAGCATCAACCTGCTGGGCTATGGTGATGCTTCCAAGACCTCAGCCTTCCAGGTAGCCAGAACTACAGGCGCACACTACCACGCCCAGCTAATTTTTTATTTATTGTAGAGACTAGGTCTCCCCAAGTTGTCCGGGCTGGTCTCGAACCTGTAGGCTCAGACAATCCACTCACCTTGGCCTCCCAAAGTGCTGGGATTACAGGCTGAACCACCCAGCCAGGCCAGTTCTGTAGTTTTTTACTGAAGATTTTGGAGAGGGGTAAGGTCCACAGAGATATTTTGGTTCCCCAGGCAAAAGCCCAGTGAAACTGATTTCAGATGACTGACCCCCATAAGAATAAGAGAATAAATTTGTTTGTTGTACACCACTAAGTTTGTGGCAGTTCATTACAACAACTGGAAACTAATACACAAAGCAAGGGGAAAATGTAGAAGGGCTGTCTAGGTAACAGCTCTTTCACCACCAAAATAAATCAGAAGGAAAGGAATTGGGACAAGACCAAACAGTTGGCTCTGTGTAACTCAGAGAGGAAAGTGGAGAATGTTGGTGCCACCTCCCTTAAATGCATAAGTAACTAAAAGGATCTCAGGAGGCAAGATTTGTTTCCCCATGAGACTATGATACACAGCATTATTTAATTTTAAAAATGAAACAATAGGCCCATATATATGGCACGACCCAACTTTTGTTTAAGAAGTATATGTGTATAAACAGTTGTGTCTGTATACCTTTAGGATAGAGTTCTTACTTCTGGGAGCTGCATGACTAATTCCCTCAATTCCTCAGTCTTCACTCCAAATCCACTATTTAAAATTGCAAAGTGCACCCCCAACCCACAAACACTCACAAAAGCACCGCTCAACACCCCCAACTCAGCTCTATTTTTTCTGTAATATGGACGTATCACCTTCTAAAACACTATGCTACTCATTCTATTTATGGATTGCTTGTTTCCTTCTCTAGAATTTAACGTCCACGAGGGTAGTGATTTTTGTGTAAGAGTCTGAACAGCTCCTGAAACACAGTTGGCCCTCAAGTAATATTTGTTAAATGAATAAATTTCAGAGGTGAGATGAAAGTTACCATATGATTAACTTTATTTCAGAATATTTTTAAAGGTAAAGACAAAATTATGGGTGAATCTGCGTCCTTTTTCTCCAGTATGTATTCCTAAAGTAATTCTTATTCATTTGTAATTTTAATTTTAAAAAAAACAAAACAAAACGAGAATAACTCGAATGAACCCGTCACCGACCTCAAAAAACAGGAAGACCGATTTCTACAGCCCGGAACCGAGCTCAGCGAGGCGCCGCAGAGAAAGCCCCGGACCCAATGCCGGAAGTGGCCGCCCGGAAGTGGGCGTGGCACCACCCATGGCTTGCTGGAACTTGTAGTTCGCGACCCTCAACGCGGTAGCCGTCAGTGTCCGGAATCTGGCGCTTCCAGGTATGCGAATTCCACGTGGGAGGTGAGACAGGCCAGGCTGCCTAAGCCTCCGGCAGAGGCGTCCCGGGGTCAGAATGTGGGTGTGCCGCGAGAGAGGTTGCTGAGCCCCGGAAACCGGGCGGGGCGGCCGTGGGAGGACGTGCGACCAGCGGAGGCGCGGCCCCGGACAGCACGTGTGTCGGGGCGCCACAATTCCGAGAGTTTGGGTTCCCCCAAGGCCCGGGTGCGGTCACACAGAGGCCAGGTGGCCCCTACAGCTGAGCAGGCCACGGCTCCAAGGGCCTCTTCCATCGCCTGGCCGAGCTTTGGCCTGGGCCAGCTGAGGGCTTAGTAGTGAGCCACACAGGCCCTTTCCGTGCCAGCAGCCTGCCTTATTGCAAGGAGGTTTTCGGTGGACGTTAGGCGACGGAGAGGGGCTCCTGTGAGGGATCGAGGTTTCTGTGCCACGCACTGCCCTCGGTAAAAAGAGTTTGCGTCTGATTCCCTATACTGCAGAAACTTGTCAGGCTTCTGCGAATGAGGTCGGGGAGGGTGTCTTGGGCAACTGAAATCTATCCCGATAGGTGACACATATAACCTAAGAGCTCCTGCTCTAGCTAGAACTTTAGGGCGGAATCTGATGGCTGCAGAACTTACTTAGCCTCGTGAGTTTTGGGAGGGAGACTTGACCTGTTTGATTCAAAACCCTGTGGTGAGAGATGAAGAAGGTGACAGGAAAGACGTCTCAGGAAAAGGACTGCGAGAGGATAGATTGAAGAGCGGTCAGTAGCAGGAGCTTAATAATTTTTCCCTACAGCCTTGTTGGGCTAGCTAGTCCGCATCTTGCAAAGTGGGCTTGATTTTCTTGGCTTTTTCTCTTTCCCTAACTCTGCCTTTCCAGGAATTCCTCCCGGAGAGGAGGAAATGACTAAGGTCCAGGTGACTTGGGGTTTCTTTTTTCCTAAAATGCCATCTCTCTGAAATGTCCGTGTACTGTGTGTTGTTTTTTTCTTTATTGTCAGACTTCAGGGTGAGGCATACAGTATTTTATAGCTGAGTGGTCATTAAGATGCTAAGGGCATATAGCTAGCATATGATATTACCAGGCTCAGCACAAATATTGTTTTCACTGTACCACCCTATCTCCATGAGTTTGGTCCACTCCTCAGAACACTGGGCTTTGCTCTTTTATCAAAAGAGCATCTTTTTCCAGTCCTCTCAAAGCTTGCCTTGAAAGTCATGAAAAGCTACTCCATGTTCAGCCCAGTGCTAAGTAGTCTCAGCAAAACAAATAGAATTACAAGCTACGGTATTTTTCTTCAGAGTTTACCATCTTGATGAGCAGATTACCTGTACACAAAAAGTATGCATATTAATGATGATCATTTATTAACTGTAAAAGAATTTAAAACATGAGAAAATTTGTTAAATGGCAGCACAGTAATTACAAAATTCTTAGAAATGCTTCTCAACTAGACTGTACATCAGAATTATCTGTAGTGTTTTTAAACAACTAAGATTTCTGACCCTCTCCTCCAGACCTGCTGAAAGCAGAATTTCACTCCTTTAATCCCAGTGATTTTTGTACATCCAAAGATTTATTGCATTTATTGTGAAATATCTCTCTACATACTCTATAAAAATGTCTCTAAGGTGGATAAAATGAGTTATTTATCTTTTATGCACTGGTTGATTTGTTCCCTTTCACTGTGTCTACAAATTTAATTGGTACAATAAATTTTAAATTACTAAGTAGCACTTTAAAAAAAAAATTTCTCATTTGTCTCCATAAACCATTTGTAGGATATTATCTCAAGATTGACACGCTTCCAGGGACACAGTCTAGAACAACTCAGAATGATTCAGCATTTGACTTACTGCTGTAGTCTTTCCTACAATACAGCCTCTAACAAAAGTAGGCTGTCCCAAACCCTTGGTAACAGTAGTTTACCTATATGCCAAGAAGGTTGGAAAAGCATCCAAATCTGCCTGTGGCATGTGCTTAGACAGACTTCAAGGAGTTTGTGCTGTGAGGCCTAAAGTTCTTATGAGGTTATCCAAAAAACAACAAAAAAAAACATGTCAGCAGGGCCTATGGTGGTTTCATGTGTGCCAGATGTGTTCATGACAGGATCAAACATTTTTTCCTTATCACTGAGCAGAAAATTGTATTGAAGGTGCAGGCACAGAGTCAACCAAATTTAAAAATTAAATTCTGAGTAATAGTTTTAAAAAAGGGGTAACCCCCTGGGGTCCCCTCCCACTGTGGAAGTTTTTCTGTCCTCTCAATAAATCCTGCTTTCAAAAAAAAAGTTAAAAAAAAAAAAATATTGACACTAGAATTGTAGAGTGTTTGGGATGAAAGGGGTTAGCTGGCCCCTCTGCCTCATCCTGGCATTTTACAGAAGAGAGCTCTAAGGGTGCTGAAGGAAAGTGCCTTATGCTCTGATGCAGAAAGCAGCAGAGCTGGAAGTTAACCTCATATGTTTTCTAACTCCATGGTGTTGTTCTTTCTCCATTACTAAATAGATCTTCACACCAGAAGTTATTTGAATAAAGTATCAGGCTGAATTTTAAGGAAAAAAATATAATTGGTTCTTAACACTACCAGCAAAAGCCATCTTTTTTGCTTGGCAAATACAGTCCTCACATACATAGTAATTATTCGCTGCTGGCTGCACTTGGGGATTGCTAGTAGAGATGGAGTCTCACTATGTTGCCCAGGTTTGTCTCAAACTTGTGGCCTCAAGTGATCCTGCCTCAGCTTCCCAAAGTTCTGGGATTATAGGTGTGGGCCACCATGACTGGCCACATAATACATTTTTGTATTTAAAGAAAGAGCTTTATTCCAATCTTTAGTGCATACTTTCTATGTAACAGACATTGCCCTTGACTCTGCTGACAGACAGGAGTCTTAGTTTACCTACTTCCTACTTCTGTGACCTTGGCTAAGTCATTTCACCATTATGAACCTTGGTTTTCTCATCTGCAAACTGACAGTGTTAGGGTTGATGATGTTTAGACTCTCAGGTATATTATTTCATTAATTTAAATTGAATATTAGTTTATAAGTGTTTATTATTTAGATTCCAAGTCAGCTATGTTTGTTGTTGGGAACTTGAAGATGAATTGAGCATGGCTCTTGACCTTTAGAATCTCATAGCCAACTTGGGAGATAGATTTAATAGCTATAGTAGAGATATGTGAAATGTGCTATAAGATCTTGGAGAAATAGGCACCTAACTCATTCTCATGCTTCAAAAAGGAGGTTGTTTATTGTCCTGAGACTGAAAGGAGTTCTAAAATGGATGGGAGAATTCTATGTCAAAGCAGAAGCAACGTGGAAGGGGCTGTGCTAGACCTGACCATGATGTGTTTGGATGACTCCAGGTAATCCAGTGTGACTATAGTCCTTGTTTGCCCCCTTCTGCATTACTGTTTCCTGCTTCTAAGTAAATTGTTGAGTAAAGCAGAGATGGCCTCTAGAAAGAAGTGGAAGGCCATATGATGAAGTATATGTAGTTCTGAAGAGTTTCACATTTGTCTGGTGGAAACAATGAACTACTGGTGACCTTCCTTGGTTGACTTTCAGGATATTAAGTCCACTTCCCCTCTGGAAGCAGGAGTTCAGCCTCAGGGTAACTTGCTAACTCCACTGATATCAGGGGAGTCTTTCAGTCCCCGCTTTGTCTTGCTTTAACAAGAGCACTATTTTCTTTCCCTTTCTGTCTTCTCCTGTCACAATGATTCCTCCCATTTGGTCAACTCTTGTTTTTTACCTACTGCAAACTTCATAGTTCATCACATATTCTTTCCATTCTCAGTATGGAATTCCCCCCACCACATTATCTGTAAGATATTAAAAACTGAATGACTGTGTGATCTATGAATTGAAAGATGACAAAACTTGTACTATGAAGACTTGGTAAGAGTTACTGCAGAGAGAGAGCGCACATGCATGCCTTACAAAGACAGTGGCAGTGGAAAAGGGAAAGAGGTAACATGTTGGAACAAAATTTAGGAGGTAGAATTGACAAAATCTGAAGTGGTTTGAATATTGTTGAGATAGAGAAGGAGGCTTAGACAACCCAGACAACCGGGTAGAAGATGGGTTAAAAATAAAGGGCATCGACTCTCTGAAGAGAGAAGAAGGAATTTGACCTAGAATCCACAGGGAGATACTAATTATGAACAGAAAGAAACCTCTTTTCACTGGTGTGGGAAAAAAGGTCTGGTTGAGAGGAACGACCCATCCACTTGCTTGATATTCTCTGAGTTGCTTTGCTAAAGGATGTGGTTATGGAGCTTTAAGGCAGCAACCTCCTCTTTGTCTCACCTTTTTCTCAGGAGCTTGTAGGCTTCTTCAGCCCTCTTCCTCAGAGTGGAAACCAGTGAGTGACCTTGATAAGAAAGCTTAGGAAAAAACCCTGTTTTCCTTCATTCTTACCTTCTCCATTGGTGACTAGTTGAGTAAGTCATGACACTCCTGCAGGGCAGGCTTGAGAAGGTAATGAATGATACCTCTTCAGCCTCAAGCCAAAGCTGGCATAGCTGATCCAAATTATGAGGCATCCCTCATTATTTTTTATATATTCTATCACTCCCCTTTTCAAAGTATGGCTTATGGACTAGTGCCAGCCCATGTACCATGCAGACATAAGTACAGAAATTGAGAATATTTGCTTAAAAAACAAAAGGCTTATTCTTTACTACAGGTAGTTTGAGAAGTGTTGCTTCATCAGACAACCCTGGAGGGAACCAGATTGACTGAAGTTAACTGAATGATATTTGAACTCCTTTTATGTGCCAGGCCCTGCTTGAGACCTTGAGTATTCAGTAGTGAACAAATCAGATAGCCTTTCAGTTCTCCGTGAATTAGCTCTAAGTGGGAGAAACAGACAATAAATAAGAAAGAAAATGAATACATAATAAAGTAAGGTATAGGTAATAGGAAGAAATTAAAACCAGGAAAATGATAGTTACTGGGTGCTACTGTGGATTAGATGGTCAAGGAAATACTTTTCTGAGGAGGCAAGAGTTGGACTGAGACTTAAATGATAAGGAACTGGATACAGAAAGATATGGACAAAGAACATTCTGGGCAGAGAGGGCAGTTAGTGCAAAGGCCCTAAGTTGAGAAGGAATTTGATGTGGTTCAAGGTCCTGCAAGGTCTCTGGGGCCAATTGTGATCATAAGAGAGGAGTGACTCAGGCAGAAGTTGAGGAGGTGACAGGAACCAGGTCTGCAGAGCTTTGCAGGCCAGGATGAACAGTCTGGATTTTACTCAATCCTCACTGAAAAACCTTTTAAAGGTTTCATGCCTAACCTGTTTTGTGTTTTAAAAGATTACCCTGGCTGCTAATTGGAAAACTCGTGTGTAGGGAAGCAAGAATAGAAACCGACAAGGCAGGAAGTTGGTGTGGGTGAGAGTTAGTAATGGCTGGGCCTGTAGTGTTAACTGTGCAGGATGGGGAGAGGTGGACAGATGCAGATAAGCTTTAGTAATAGAGGAGATGGGATTTAGTAATGGGTGAGACATGATAAAGACAGAAGAAAATCAAATGACTTCTGGGATTTGGGTTTGAGCAATTGGGTGAGTGATGTGGCTGTTTACTAAAATGAGGATGTCTGGGGAAGACCAGATATTGATAGAGATTGCCAGGGGCAAGAGTTCTTTTAGGGCCTATTTATCTTTAAGCACTTTTTAGATATTCTAATGTAGATGTTAAGTGAAAAGTTGAAGTCAAGTTGAGGGAAAAAGTTAGGGCCAGAGATAAATATAAGGAGGGATCCAAAGAAGCCATAATTTATTTATTTAAAAATTGTGTATTGTTTCTTACATGTTTAAACTTCAGTCACCTTCAAAGTATTCTCCATTTGATGCAATACACCTACTGAGACACTTTTTCCACTGAGCAAAAATTTTTGAACTGTCAATTTTGATGCCTTTTAGGGCTTCTGCTGATTTTTGTTTGACAGCTTCCACATCAACAAAACACTTCCCTTTGAGTATTTTTTTCACCCAGGGAAACAAAAAAAAAAAGTTGCTGGGGCAAGATCAGGTGAATAGGGAGAGAAGGGCATGGAGGTCATGCCATTTGGGTCTAAAACTGCTGAACACTCAGCACAGTGTGGCAAGTACACTTGTAAACCACCTATCATGAAATGGGCAAATGCATAGAAAAAAATCTCCAAAAAGCATTCACTGGTGTCAAACACAGCCTCTCACAACAATGCTAGCTGGTACACTGATGCTGACAGGTTTCTAGTACACTTAGCTAGCAGGGTAAGCCTGTGCTACAAGGGGCTGCCCCCCAAAAAGTAATTCTGGGCTTTTTTTAAGACCCTCTCGTATTTAGCTGTCGAAGGTATTTTAAGCCAAGGGATTGACAAGGATACTTAAAGAGAGTGTTTTATAGTTGTATGTATATGTACTGCTTTATTTTTTAGTAATGTTCAAAATGACTTAGTTTAGAAGAAGAAAGCACATATGATTGATATAGTGAGGGAAAACCTTGAGATCAGAAGCGTGTTTTAGCTGAGAGGAAAAAAAAGAGGAAAGGTTAAAGGATAGTAATCTTGATAAAGCAGATGTGAGGGAAGGGAAGAACAGAAAGAATAGGAAGAGACTTTGTTGTTTTCTTTACTGCAGACTGCAATGGTTTCAAAAAGGAGATTTTTAAGGTGTAGGATATAAAGAGATTAATATTTTAAAAGCAGAAGTGCAAATAGTGGACTAGGCCTAGTTATGTTATTGCAGTTTGATGAAATGAGCCAGAGATCCTTGGCACTGTGGAGATCAAGAAATGGGGCTGGGCATGGTGGCATATGCCTGTAATCCCGCACTTTGGGAGGCCAAAGCAGGAGGATTGCTTGAGCCCAGGAGCTGGAGACCAGTCTAGGCAACATAGACCAAATCTCTACCCCCAAAAATAAAAAAGTTAGCCAGGCTGGTGGTATGTGCCTGTAGTCCCAGCTACTCAGGAAGCTGAGTCAGAAGGATCACCTGAGCCCAGGAGGTCAAGGCTGTGGTGAACTGTGATTGTGCCAGAGCACTCTAACCTGAGTGATAGAGCAAGACTCCAACTCAAAAAGAAGAAAATAAAAGAAAAAAGGAAGTTAGAGCATTGGGTAAATTGTTCTCATGAGTATTGAGGTTGTCAGGATAATGCTGGGAATGGGGTGAAGAGTTTCAGCAATAACACAAGATAACAGTGACAAGGAAAGATTCAGTTGCTAATAGCCTAGAAGTAGCAAAATAGGTGAGAAAGGGAAGACTTTCCAACAAAATTTGGCTTAGTTTACTCAGATCCCATGAATTGCAAACTTCTTCTATACTTTCTTACCTTTTCCAATGCTATCAACTTCACTCTACTTCCAGGGCATTTGTGCAGGTGGCTGTTGGTTGAGGAGGAATGTGCTTAATGTTTTAGGAATCAGTCACATTCACGGATATCTCTGTGGCCTTCACCGAGGAGGAGTGGGGTTGCCTGGACCCTGCTCAGAGGAAGCTGTGCAGAGCTGTGATGCTGGGAAACTACAGGAACGTGGTCTCAGTGGGTAAGAACATATGAATCTGGATACCTACCCATTGAAGTTTTTATTTCCTAATTCCTTTTTGGCACAAAAGGATGTTTTCCGACTATTCTAAGCATTTAGAGAAATTTACTTGGTAAGAATTGAAGAATGGTAGCTTTACTAAGTTGACTCAGAAATCCTATCTGCTCCATCTCATAAACCAGAGGTGGGACTGATTTTGCTTTCTGCACAATCACTGTGAGTTTCCAAGATACGATCTCTCAGTTGGAGCAAGATAAAGATCGTTGTATAATGGAGAATGAACTCCAAAGAACAGCAGGCATCATGACAAGTTACAAGCCCAGGCTAATCCATGAAAGAGGAATCTCTTCGGAAATGTTCCAAAAATCCTCTGGTCTGTCTAGAAAATAGTGGCTTCTGGGGTGCTTTCTATATGCTCTACCAGGATCCATTCACGTACTCCCCCTTCTGCCTCTGCAGAAGGTTATGGTTTTTCCTATCCAATGACTTTCTTCTCTGTACTCTTATCTTGTCCCATGTTTCCCCCACATTGATCTTGTATTATCTTTGCTTGGACTTAATTTTTCATTGAATATCCTTCTCGTGGCTCGCAATATTTAGTTTCCATTATTTCTTTTCATTCATATTCAGGAATTCATCCGTCTTGCCTCCTGAAGATGATCAAAGCTTGTGGTAGGACAAGATAGAAATAGATAAGGGTATAATTGACAGTTTTCCTAGAAAACACTTTGCCTGAATCAAAGTGCCTTAAGCATTTTCAAATGAAGTAATTCACTTTTAGGTATCTATCCAAAAGAAACAGTAACTTCAACTGAAAATAGTATACAAAGATGGTCAATATGGAATTATTTAAACAGTGAAAAAATTAGTTACTCACTAAATGTATCACAAGTGATTGGTCAGACATTGTCATGGATCATAGAAAAGTATGTAGCCATTAAAGTATGTTGATAAATAATTTTAATTAGGTGGGAAGATGAATGTGTACCTACTACGTAGAAACATGTGAAATTTCCATTTTGTAGTCAAAAGCAGACACTTTACAAAAAACACTGAAAAGAAGTATGCCTTCATGCTGGCTTTCAGAATTTTTCCTTCCTTAGGCCACAGGAGGGCCTTGGTTCTTGCCCCTTGACCGTGGCTCTTCAGCCTCCATTCTCAGCTAAGCCTGAGGAGTGAGGAGAGTGCTACAGAGCAGTAAAGTTGTTGCCTTCAGGTGGTGAATCCAGCATTTCCATTTTCTTTATATAAACCCAGTGCCTATGCTCTTTCTTTGTGCCAAAATTGCTCACTTGAAGGTCACCACTGAATTTTTGTCCTCTTCTTTTAGAGTATTTACTATTGTCAGTTTTACTGATGGCTTTTATAGCATTGGCCTTCTTTTAAAATTCTTTGTCTTGTATGAAATCATAGTTTTTCTGTTTTCCCTGGCTTTTCTCTTACTCCTTTTCTCTGCAGATCCAGTGGCTTCTCTGTGTTTCCACTAACTTTGAAAATCCCAAAGGGCTCTTTGCTTTTCATTCACTATACATCAATGTTTCTCCCTCACCAAAAGGAGACAAATTAAATTTCTCCTTTAGAGAAATTAAATACTAAGGAATAAGATTTTGTCAGGTAGTACTGTGTTTTTGTGGGCCACAAGCCAGTACATAGGTAAGATTTTTTGTGCCCCCTAAGAACCAGTTCTCATCCATTGGGGGCAATATTGCCCCTGATGAGAATGGTGTATGTGTACGTACAATTTGTATAAAGAGCTAGTACACATTTATTGGCTTCAAGTATCATTTCTAGTTTAATAACCCTTAATTTCCTATTGTATTAAATTCTATTCCGTGTATTTTCTTGTCTATGGGATATCTATACTGAAATATCCAGCGCTACTTTATGTTCAGTGCGTTGATAATTTTAAAAATTCTTTTCCTTTTAAATTTCCTTTCCTATTTCCCATTTTTGTCAGTATTAAAGTTATTCTAGTTCCCTAGTTTAGAATAGACCATTACTATATTAAGTTTCTCTCTTCCTGTCCTCAGTGTCTGAAAGTCTTTCACCAATTCTTTCTCTTTTTTTTGCAACCAATTCTTTTTTAACTTTAATTTCTTTTACATTTATCAATACTCTTAAATTCCACAGATATCACTCTAAAATTGATCTATTTAATGCTTGAATTATGGTAAAAATTAGTCAAATTGTTGCCATCATTTTTTCAAGCTTAAGTTAGATATCGCAAGTAGACTTGTCTGCCTTAAACATATTTCTTATCACATCACTCTTTGGATGAAAAACTGAAATTACCCTTAGCCACTGGCATCAAGTTTCTAAACTCTTTGTCTGGCATTCGAGGTCCTTGGTGGCCTGGCACTGTTTTCTACTGCTTCAAATTTACTTTCCTTTCTAGCTAATTCCATTCTCCTGAGGTATTCCATGCTTTTTTTTTTTTTTTTTTTTTTGCTCTGGAAACTTTGATTATCCCATGTTCTGATTAATTTTGTCCTTTAAGATTTTATTTGAAGACCATTTCCTATGTGAAATCTTTGGCTGCCCCTCCACTTGACCCCCTTCTCAAATTTTCCATTTATATCTCACAGTCTCAGACCTGATTACATATTCATTTTTATGCTTTTCTTTTAACCATTGGATCTACAGTTCTGATTTATTTTCCTTGTTCCCAACCACATTCCTGGAGAGAAGGCAATGTATTTAATACTTCCAATGCTATGGGTACATAGTCAATATTTGATATATTTAATAATTGACTGCTACAGGATTTACTTTTATAGTCTGTGGGAGAAACATTAAGGAAGCACAACATAATACTATAATTTTGACAAATCCTGTGAAGGATAGAACAGTGCCCTGAGAGAATAAAGGCACATGATGGGATGAGGGTTATATGTGTGTTGCTGATAGTTTTAGGAAAAGCCTCTGAAGTGACATTTAAACCAGGCACTAAAGGATTAATTGTTTAAGCAGGTGACTGGAGAGGGGAAGAACATTCCAGGCAGGGGGAACCATGTAAGGGGAGACCCAAAGACCTGGAAGGAGGAGTGGTGGGCAGGGCCTGGCTCACTCATGGCAATGAAGGTACTGGTAAAAAGTGAATTTATGTTAAGTTCTATGGGCAGCCATTGGATCAAGGAAATGGTATGCTCTGATTGACCCAGGATCACTGTGACTGCTTTGCAGAGTGGTTTACATAGGGGCAAAAATGAAGTAGGAGATTAGGTTCCAATTTTAAGTTCTGCTCTAGGTTTTCATTTTGATATAACATTGAACATAGTTGTTCAACATTTTGTTTTATGCATGTAAGATATAAAAGTCTCAAAATTTCAAAACTAAAAGTATAATATGAAATCAAATCACTAATAGTTTTTCTGTGTACTCTATACATATGTATTCATATTACAAATATATGTTAAAATTTTATGAGATTATGCTGTATTTTTTAGTTTGCTGTTTTACACAATATATGTTAAACAGCTTTTTTATTCCATGCTAACTACCTGTAAAAGAAGCCCTTTCTCTGTGCCAGCAGTTTCTGTTGTCCACTCATTCTTCATATTATGTTAAATATTAAAAATACTAATATCATAAAGTTTTACTACTGCTTATGAAAATATACCATTAGGCCGGGCATGGTGGCTCAAGCCTATAATCCCAGCACTTTGGGAGACCAAGGTGTGAGGATTGCCTGAGTCCAGGGGTTCAAGACCAGCCTGGGCTTGGTAAGACCTCGTCTCTTCAATAAATCAAAAAATAATCTGGGCATGGTAGCTTGCGCCTGTAATTCCAGCTAGTTAGAAGGCTAAGGGGGAAGGATCATCTGAGCCCAGCAGGTCGAGGTTGCAATGACCGTGAGTGAGGTTGCAGTGGCCATGAGTGTGCCATTGCACTCCAACCTAAGTAACAGAGTGAGACTCCAACTCAAAAAAAAAAAAAGAGAGAACATACCATTAAGAAAATTCCTCCTCCACTGATATTCATCATATGCCTACAATTTCTGCAGCCACTAGCCATTCCCAATTAGTAGACAATAGGGATGTTGAAGCAATATTCTTTAACTGTTTAATAATTTTGGCCCACCTCATGATTTCCCTGCTACAAGCTGTGCTGTTTTTCTTTTATCGTTTTTCTTTTTTATTTTTGCCATTACTTTTGAAATTTGTAAACAAAGTGATACAGTCACCTGGGTAAAGCAAGTTGTATCAACAGGCTTATAATGAAAATATTCCCAAGTTCTGCTGATCCTTCATCCATAGTGTGGCTTCTCAAAGGCCCTGTGTTTTAATCCTTTCAACTTTCTTATTGGGTTTGTCTTCATACTTCCAAACAGCATGTTTTTTCTTTCTCACTCTCTCTCTCTCTCTTTCTCTCTCTCTTATAAATGCATTCACGTGGTTTAAAAAAGAAGTACAAAAAGTTACACAATGAGAAGTTTTTTCATGTCTGTAACTTCTGTCTATCCAGGTTGTGATCAATCAGTTGGCTTTTATACAGCATCTGCAGTGAGTAATCTCATATAAATGTCATTTCACAACTATGCCTAGAAATTTGAAGAGTAAAACTTCCAAGCTGGAATGCTAAATGCATACATTTGTGATTTTGATAGATAATTGTCAAAATGTTTGTCCTTCATGATACCAGTTTGCACTCACAAGCAATGCTTATCTTCAACTTCTGATTGGTGTTCATATAACAGAAAATGGTATCTCAGTATCATTTTAACTTGAATTTATTGTATTGTGATATACTTTGAATTATCAATATTTTATATTTTATATTGATGTCCTTATTTCATAGATGAAGATATAGCTTTTTTATATTACCTCCCAACATGCCCAGCCTCCCAAGAATTTACGTTAGAGTCCTGTCAGTGATTAATGCTTACATTGCTTTGATGTTATAATAATTGTTCACTGTATAGTCAAGTAGTATACTATGATTACAGTTCCTTTTTTTTCCCCCTGAAGTGAATACATGCTTTTTAAAAATATTCCTTATTTGGGGAATTTTCATTACATGTGTTACTTTAGAGTTTTTAGTATTTTTTCTTATATGTATCAACAATTAATTAAATTATGTATTTTATTGACTGCTTACTGCTACTTCCTGTATCATATATATTTTTCTTAGTTTTTTAAAAATTTTGCTACAGCATATCCCTGAGTAATTGTTTCAGTAATTAAATTCTTTCTTGTCTGAAAAAGTCTCTATTTTTCCCTCCCATTGAATGGTTTGGGTATATAATTATAATTTCACAATAACTTTTTCTCCAAAACTGAAATTATTGCTCTATTAGTTTCACGTTAGGAACATTGCCAATTAGTAATTCAAAGTCAGTATAACTCTCATTTATTTGTACATAATCTGGTTTATCTGTCTGGATGCTTTTAGCATTTTCTGGGATTTTTTTTTTTCCTTGAAGTCCTGAGGGGTTGTTTTTGTTTTTTTTTTTTTTAATCCTAAAAGTGTTTTGGCTTTTTTCTCTTTTAATTTTTTTATTTTAAAGATGTGAGGTACAATTCAGGATTAGGTATACAAATATTCATTATGTGGGTACCCTTGTTGATGAGGTGTGTCCCCCCTTCCCCAAGGTACTGAGGTTTTAAAAGTTGTGTTCAGTTGGGTGTCTTTTCACATATCATTTTTAACATTCAGTGAGCCCTGAATCTTGAGTTCTAGGAAACTTTGTTTCTGTTATTTCTTTGATCATTTTCTCTCCCTTCGTTGTATCTTCACTGTCCTCATGGAACTCCTTGGAAATGGGCTTTTCTATTTTTCTGTTTGCCTATCCTTTGATATGCATTCTTGGAGAATTACTCAATCTCCCATCTTTACCATGTTTTCATTTTGCTATTTAACCCACCTAGATTACAGTTCTCAGGCTAAGACAGCCAGACACTCAACTATAAAGCAAATAACTTAAATTCTTTCTTTTTTTTTCTTTTTTTTTTTTTGAGTTGGAGTCTCACTCTGTCGCCCAGACTGGAGTGCAGTGGCCGCTCTCGGCCACCGCAGCCTCGACCTGTTAGGCTCCGGCAATCCTTCTGCCTCAGCCTTCCAAGTAGCTGGAAATACAGGCATGTGCTACCTCTCCCAGCTGATATTTGATTTATTGTAGAGATGAGGTCTCGCCAAGTTGTCTAGGCGGGTCTCGAACCCGCGGGCTCAGGCAATCCACTCACCTCAGCCTCCCAAAGCACGGGATTACAGGCTGAGCCACCAAGCCCAGCTAACTTAACCTCTTTCAACTTTGGTTTCTTCATGAGCTAAATCAGTATCCTCATAGTTCCCTGTCACATAAGATTGTGCAATCAGTGCCTGAGTGCTTCAGTCTTACACAGTAGGCATTACTTATGATTATCATCTTCTTTAGTCATTTTATTAATTTAGAATTATCATTTTCATAGTAGTGTGTTTATATTTTATTATTAGATTGTGTTTAAGTGTGATATCCTCTTTTGATTTCTCTGAGATTTTAATTAGCTTTTCAATTTTGTTTCCTCTGTTTACTATTTCTTGTGCCTCTCTTGTTAGTTTTCTACTTTTGTGGAGATGTCTGCTTATATATTTTTTTAATTGTCTGTTTATATATTTTTTTCAAAAATTTGTTTTCTCAGTATGATACTGGACTGTGCATCCTTAGCTGATGCTCAACTCACTTGGCACAAATGTGTATTCTGCTTTTGGGAATGCTTCTGCTGACTGGGCTTAGGAGTGAGGTAATAAAAATCCACATGGTAGATGGTACAGGCTATTTTTTAAGACCACCTCTTCATACCGGTAAATTATCTGGGCATGTCCTGCTTCTTCAGTTCCAGCTGTGCTCTATATGTTTTATCAGAACTCCCACTTCAGAGGTTAGCATGAGGCTTCATCCTGGGCACATACTGACAATTGGTTTTTTGGGGGTTTTTTTGTTTTTTGGTTTTTGGTTTTTATTGGTACTTTAACCAATCATATCATTGTGTGGTTCATCATTACTTCAACCTCTGCTTCTCTCTTCAGCCCAGTCAATACTTTTGCAACCTTTCTTTGATAGATCATTTATCTTATTCTCGAGGCTTTATATGGGACCACTTCTGTTAGCCACCCAATATTTTTGTTTTTAAAAGAAAAGGAAGGTTGAGAGAGTGATGCTGCTGATGGCAACAATTAGTCCAGCCATTAGGAATGCCTAACTTGAATTAATAAATGTCTTTCTTTATAATTGTTGATTGATTGATTTTCTGGGACACGCAGACTCCAGAGAAATGGAGTCAATACTCTCTTACTTTATAATTGTTGATTCTGCATTTGGAATTTGAATTTCTAATTTGAATTTCTAGGACTTCTTAAGAATATGCCTTACCCCTAAAGAAGCCTTCTCCTGTACATAATTTTGAACTTTACATTTTTTCCCCTAGTTTCTCCATCATTTCTATTCCAGCTATTCTTTATCATATAGGAGTTCCTGAACATTTACATTCTGGTGATGACAACCGTTATATCTCTCCAAGGTTATTGTGGATTTCTTCTCATTTCAGTATAATATTAGGTTATTCACTCCATCTGTTTTGACACAGATAAGTCTGGGGTTTTTCTTTTCCCTCCTATATACCAGAAAGTCTAAGCTCTGTATTCCTAGAACAGTTCTCTTGCAGGAGTTCCAGACCCATATATCTCATGCTTACTGAACAGTGTAACAAGAATTCTTCACCAACACCACAAATTAAGCAAGGCAGATTTGAGTTTATTATTTGTCTGCTTCCCCACTCTAGCCTTTTCTTCTTGTATTTCCTATCTTATTTTATAGCACCACTCAGGCAAGGAACCAGGGGAGCAAGCTTTGTGCCTCCTTTCCCTTGCCTTCCATGTTTAATTTGTCATCATGTGATCTACAACTTTCAACAACTATCATCCTTGCCATTTTTCTTCTCATTTACTATAGCAGCTGTCTCTCTAACTAAAGGCTGCTTTCCAGTGGTGTTTATAATCACAAAGTCATTCACTCCAAATTTCAGTTATTTAATAGTTTTCAGTCCCTACATGGTTTAGCCTTAAGATCCTTAGTATTAAACATCAAGCCCTTTTCTCCGGCTCCCATATTCCTCTGGGGCACACTGTTTCCTTTTTTAACCTCCTGCAAAAGAAGCTGCTTGTAGTTTTCTTGAACACATTATATTTTCTCTCCACATTTCACATTTTTTCCTTGTCATTTTCTTTCAGAAATCTTCCCAGGGTCCTACGGTTTCAGTTGAATGCTCCTACTCTGTGCTCTTGTGGCTGGTTGTGTTGTACTATTACTTGGTATAGAGGAATGTATAGTAAAAGACAGTACAACAGATGTATACACAACCAGCCACAAGAGCCACAGAGTAGGAGCATTCAACTGAAACCTTATCATTATTTGGTATATTTGTCTTTCTTCCCAGGAGGCATTAGCTTGTTAAGCTAAAGAATTTCTGTTTTCCTTTTTGTATCCCTAAAATCTATAAAAGTAGAATACCAAATAAAAGCAAATTTACTTAAAATAAGGGGAAGTGAAATGAAATGTTATTACTGGCAAGGATATAGGATTCATAGCTTTCTCTGGGATTAGTAAAGGAATACCTTTATTACCTGAGCTTAAAAGCTGAGAAAAAATTTCTGTCTTCTGTACCCGGGTCTTCTCTACTGAATTAATCCAAAGGACATGACTGTAAGCACAAACTGAACGTTTTTCTAGTTACTAAGTCTTCAGGCATTAGGTACTTCCATTCTGAAATCTTTAAATATATCCTTTATTCTTATCACTGAATTATCTTTGTTTCCTAGGAGACTTGAACGAAAATCCTGTGGAGCATCTTCCAAAAAAAAGGACTTCGGGATCTCTGTTACATGAGCTTTCCTGCTGGCTAATTTTGGAAGAGATGGCCAGTACAACAAATGGAAGTCAGGATTGTATTGTGAGTTTTCCAGGGGAGGTGTATGGAAAGTCTGAACTAGATCTGTCGCCTTGTCAAATGTGGGGAGAAGCATCTTCTCACATTTCCAGAAACAAGAACAGTGTGTTGACTCTTCCAAGTGATGATTTCAAAAACATTGAAAGTGAAAAATATTTGTCTTGGAAATTCCCACGCCAAACGGCTACACAAGACTCTTCAGTGAAGTTCCATAAGGGTGAGCCTCAAGATCCTCTGGAAAGCAAACATATCTTTGTAACTGAAGAAAGCACAGAGAGAAAAGTAATAAGGGTGGAATGTTCTTCCATGGACCATTGTTCAGAGAACCTTCAAGTTAGACTTTTGTCTGAGGTAGCAGAATTGGCTTCACCATTGTACAGTGGTGAGGCAATTTGCCAGAATGGTCAATTGAAAGAATCTTTGGATCCCTTTAACTGTAACTGCAAAGGCATTTATGGATGGAAATCACACTTGGTCAGTTGTAGTCGGCAGGCAGCTCATACAGAGGAGAAACCCAGTAACCATAATGACTGTGGGAAAACACTGAACATCAACCCAGATGTTCATCCATATGAGAAAATCCTCACTGCAGAGAAACTGTACAGATGTGATCAGTGTGGTAAGGACTTTAGTCAAAGCTCAAAGCTACTGCTTCACCAGAGAGACCATACAGAAGAAAAACCCTACAAATGTGAGCAGTGTGGGAAGGGCTTCACAAGGAGCTCAAGTCTGCTCATCCATCAAGCAGTCCACACAGATGAGAAACCTTATAAATGCGACAAGTGTGGGAAGGGTTTCACCAGGAGCTCAAGTCTGCTCATTCATCATGCCGTCCACACAGGCGAGAAACCTTATAAATGTGACAAGTGTGGGAAGGGCTTTAGTCAGAGCTCCAAACTGCATATCCACCAGCGAGTCCACACTGGGGAGAAGCCCTATGAGTGTGGGGAGTGTGGTATGAGCTTCAGTCAGCGCTCAAACCTGCACATCCACCAGCGAGTCCACACAGGAGAGAGGCCCTACAAGTGTGGTGAGTGTGGGAAGGGCTTCAGTCAGAGCTCAAACCTTCACATTCACCGGTGCATCCATACAGGAGAGAAGCCTTACCAATGCTATGAGTGTGGGAAGGGCTTCAGCCAGAGCTCAGATCTTCGCATCCATCTCAGAGTCCACACTGGAGAGAAGCCCTATCACTGCGGCAAGTGTGGGAAGGGATTTAGTCAGAGTTCCAAACTCCTCATCCACCAGAGGGTGCATACTGGGGAGAAGCCCTATGAGTGCAGCAAGTGTGGAAAGGGCTTCAGCCAGAGCTCAAACCTTCATATCCATCAGCGTGTTCACAGGAAAGATCCCTGTTAAGTGATGTGAACCCACTCAGGTCTTCAGAGTGCTCTTACTGTAAAAACTGTTAAATATTTGTAATATCATTCTTACCTTTATAGTTTAAAAGGAGATGGTAAGGGGTATTCAGATATGTTCCCTTACTGAAAAATTATCCATTCATTTGAAGTATTTAAGTACCAAGCACTTTGTTATACTATATAATGAATAGATTGTTCTGGTTTCTCAGGTGGGTAGAATGAAAACTTCTGTACTTTGCAATTCAGCCAGTGTTATTAGAACTACCCAGCATTTTTAACTGCAAGAACTTTATATTTGTCCAAACAGGGCATGTTTCCCTTTGTTGACATTCTCTGAGAAATTGAAACTCTGGTTTCTCTTGAAATTATGTGCCTTTTGTTATCTATGCTTCCTTCCAATCCTGCTTCACCCTCTCCAAACTTTGATTTTCAGTATGTTCATTTTAGGCTGAGGGGGTGGTTGGAGATATAATGGACATGGAAATCTCTTGTGTTTATTGCAAAAATGTACAGTAGTTTCTGACCACACAACAAGGAGATGGAGAAGGGTTATTCATACAGTATACCCCCATATACAATTTTGACAGGAAGTCAAACAACCCCTTCCCTCCCAGGGAACTGTTCAGGAACATAAGTTACTCTTTCCTGAGTATAGCTAGTTTACTGAGGTACTTCCAGAGTGAAAGCAAAGGAAGGTCCAAAGCAACATACCTAAAATAGTTAGCCAGAGTAAAGCGGGCATAGAAGGGTGGTACCTGAGAGCAGGTAGTACCAACAAATGAAGCAGGGCTTGGGAAAGCTAATACATAGGAAGCATTGTGGCAGCTGACCACCAAAGCCTATGAACTCATGTTGGGCTTTGTAAACTAAAATTGGCTAGCACAGAAAGTACTAGAGAATGTGCTTTTGTTACACATATCTGATCTCTCTGGACAGCATTAAAATGCTAGGAATGAAATTTTTTAAATTTATAAAAGCACAGCAATAATAAGAACAGGAGAAAAACCATCAGCACACAAGATCTCAAAACAAATGTGAAAGATGAAAAAGACGGGAGGATAACTGTTGTATCAAAGTAGAAGCAGGCACAGTTATGCTGCTTGCATATGGAGATAAGGTTTTTTTTAAAAAAAAAAAAGGAACCAGTTTGGATCTAGGCTCAGAAATGCTTAACACTGGAGGATGGGAGTAAGACATGAAGAGAAAGCATTGAAACTAATAGCCAGTAGTATGTGGAACATCCCCCCCCCAATCACATAGCATACTCCTCTGCAAACTTTGTGCATGCATGGCCAACCAGGGGTTTATCCTCCAGCAAGAGATGGGAAGTTTCTTCTCTGCAGCCGTTGATTGGCACCAGAGAAAAGACCTCTATATTCTGGCATCTGGGAAGCCAACAGTAAAGCAGCTATCTTTCCAGCTCTAATATATACATATAACAAAGCATTCAAAATTCATGAAATAAAAACTGATAGAATTTAAAGAAGCAACCTCTAAATTATAACTAGATATTTCAATAATCAAGTAATTTATAGCACAATTAGAAAGTCAGTAAGGATATATAAGACTAGAATAGCATTATCAACTAACTTGACTAATTGGCACCTATAGAACACTTAACAGCATAATATGCGTTCTTTTCAAGTGCACCTATTATGGACTATAAAACAAGTCTTGGCCAAGCACAGTGGCTCATGCCTGTAAACCTAGCACTTCAGGAGGCCAAGGAGGGAGGACTCTTTGAGCCCAGGAGTTCAAAACCAGCCTAGACAACATAGCAAGACCTCATCTCTACAAAAAATTAGCTGGGTGTGGTAGTGTGTGCTTGTAGTCCCAGCTACTTGGGAGACTGAGACAGAAGGATCATCTTTCTTGATCCCAGGATGTCAAGGCTCTGGTGAGTCATGATGGTGCCACTGTACTCTAGCCTGGATGACAGAGTGAGAACCTACCTCAAAAAAAAAGAAAAGTCTTAAAAATATTTAAAGAATGATACATAATCCTGACTTGTACCCACATCTTTAAAATGAAATACATACATTAAAAAATAAAAATATTTAAAGAATGAAAATTATACAATGATGTCTGAAGAATCTCCAACTACTTGGAAATTAAACAGCACACTCCTAAATGGGCAACAGGCTAAAGAGACAATAACTTTAAAAAATTGGAAATATTACAAACTGAATGACTATATCAAAATTTGTGGAATACAGCTAAAGCAATGCTTAGAGGGAAAAATCATACCTTTAAATAGTTATAGTATGTAAAAAGAAAGATCTCAAAACAATAATCTAAACTCCCACCATAAGAAACCAAAAAATAGCAGATTTAACACAAAGCAAAAAGAATAGGAGATGATAAAGTTAAAAGCTAAACAGTCATGAAATAGCAATGGGCAAACAATAGAGGAAATTCAATGGAATCAAAACCTTGCTCTTTGAAAAGACTAAAAGAATTGCCAATCTCAGGAATGAAACATCACTACAGGTCCTATAGTCAATAAATTCAACAACTTAGATGAAATGGAAAAGTTCCTTGAAAGGCACACATAACTAAAATTCACTTACGAAGAAAGAGATAACTTGAGTAGCCCTATTAAATGGAAGTTGTAGCTGACAACCTTCCCACAGAAGTCATGAGATCAATATAATCCAGTTACCAGAGCCAGAAAGGACATCACAAGAAAAACATAGATCAATATCTCTCATGAACATGGATGTAAAAATTATTTTTAAAACAGCAAGTTGAAAGCTCAATCTAAGCCAGCTTGGTGGCTCAGCCTGAAATCCCGCGCCTTTGGGAGGCTGAGATGAGTGGGATTGCCTGAGCCCGCGGGTTCAAGACCCACCTGGGCAACTTGGAGAGAACTCATCTCTACAATAAATCAAAAAATTAGCTGGGCGTGGTAGCGTGCATCTGTAGTTCCAGCTACTTGGAAGGCTGAGGCGGAAGGATCGCCAGAGCCCAGCAAGTCGAGGCTGCAGTGGCTGGGAGCGGCCACTGCACTCCAGTCTGGACAGAGTGAGACTCCAACTCAAAAAAAAAAAAGCACAATCTATAAAAGGATAATAGTACATATGGCCAAGTAGGGTTTATCCTAGAATTGCAAGATTGCTTTAAAATTCAGAAACCAATGTGTTTCATCATATTAATATACTAAAAAAGAAAAACCATATAATCTGTTTTAAATATAGAAAAACATTTGCAAAACTGCAACACCCATTCATAATAAAACCTCTCAGTTAATTAGGAATTAAAGGAAGTTTCCTTTATCTAATAAAGGGCATCTGTAGGAGAACCTACATCCAACATCCTACTCAGTGGTGAAGTAGAACACCTTCCTCCTAAGATTGGGAAGATGTCTACTCTCACCATTTCCAGTCGACTCTGTGCCAGATGTTCTAGCCAGTGCAATAAGACAATAAAAGGATACAGAATTTGAAACATGTAAAACTATTTGCTGTGACATGATTATATAGAAAAGTATAGAAAGCTATTAAAACATTTTTAAAGCTAATCATTGAGTTTAGTAAGGTCACATGATACAGGCTTAATATATTGGTATAAACATTTAAAGTTTAATAAAAATATCACAGCATCAAAATCATGAGATATATTTAGGGATAAAATTATCAGAACATGTGCCTGACCTGTATTCCTAAGTCTACAAAACAATGCTTAAAGAAAGTAAAGAAGTCTTAAATAAGTATATATATCACATTCATGCATTATAAATCTTAAGGACCTAGAAAGTCAAACAATTTTTTTAAGTTGAAACTTCTTTCAAGACTAAAGCTATAGTAATAGTGTGGTATTAGAGTTAAGATAGATATATAGATATGTGGAACAGAATTAGGCCTACCCATACATTTTCAATTGGTTTTCAACAAAGATACTGAATATTTGTATTGAAAAATGAATAATATAAACATAAACTTTAAAAAAAGTTTCTAAAAATCCATTACATAGGAGAAGAAAATTTTTTAAGGAAGAATTAAGTTGAATTTCATTAGTTTTAAAACTTTTGTTGTTTGGAACTTCATATTAAGAAAAAAGTTATGGAGTGAGGGGAAATATTTGCAGAACATATACCTGATAAAGGATTCATATGCAGAATAGTATATTTTTAAAAACTCTTACAACCCAGTAATAAAAAGACAACCTAACTAAAAATTGGACAAAATATTTGAATGGGCATTTTATTAAGGAAGACATGCAAATGGCCAGCTCATCAAAAGGTGCTCAGCATTATTAATCATTGGAGAAGTGCAGGTTGAAACCACAATGAGATACCATAAACACCTGGTAGAACTACAATTTAAAAGGCATAATACCAGGGTTGACAAGAATTAGAGCAAGGTGCCGGTGCTGGTGCAGATGCAAAACGATACGGCCATGTGACAATCCCATTCCTAGGTATGTAAGAGTAGTGAAAATATATGCTCTTCCACGGCCTTTATGTGAATGTTCACAGCAGGCTTACTCATAACAGACATAATACTCATAATGGGGACAACCTATGTATCAACAGGTGAAAGAGTAAACAAATTATGGAGTATCCATATAGTACAATACCTTTTTCAAAATAAAAAGAAGCTACTGATACAAAGGTGAATTTCAAAAGCATTAGGCTAAGTGAAAGAAAGCAGGCTCAAAATGCTGCAAAGCATATAGGAAATCCTAGAAGAGGCAAATCTATAATGAAAGAAAGTTCAGTGGTTGTGGGAAGAAGGTGGTTGACTGCAAAGTCATGAGGGATGGGAATGTTCTCTCAGTTGGGGTGGCTACATGACCACATTCATTGAACTATTTACATAAATGGGATTTTATTGTATATAACTTGTACTGCAATAAAACTGAGACATGTATGCATGTGCAAACACACACTAGTGCCCATTATTTGGGAATGTTAAAACACTGATTTGTTTTGCAGGCTTTCTCGATTGGCAGCATTGGTAGATTGCTCTACTGTTGAAAACTGGAGCTACATACTTGGCTGTTAACTGTGGGTTTTTCTGCACTCAAACATTGTTCCCACAACATTTTCACTCAGTTTTCTTGGGTCACCAACTGATCCCTGTTTTCTTGAGAACACTGACTTGTTTACATGAATTTTCTTCCCAATGTTCTGAGCCTACATGGGTCTCAGGACTTAGCAGGAGTCAAAATTTTACTTTCCAAGAGTCCTTTGATGCTTTTTCCTCCTGAATATCCACCACTTACTCCTCATTTGGGGGAATCCAATGAAGTATTTCTCCTTTCCCTCAAGAGAAAAGGTTTTGTTGTAGGACTCTAAAATTTTCCTTAAAGTCCTAACCCACATATATTGAGTGTCCATCTTTCCCAGATATGCCAGCC